GTGGAAATATGTGGAACAGCTCAAGAAGGGGCAATGGAAGAGAGCAGGGCAGGATTTCAGACACTGGATCAGGGAAGAGACAAAAGCGTGATCAGCCTGATCTGTCTTCAAATCACAAACAGAACAGGTTGGAGTTCCATCAAATCAAAATCAAATCCAGAAAAAACTTCCAACCAGAAATTCTCTTTAAGGCATAAAAAGTAGTAGCAATTGGAACAAACATTAGGCATGCCTTAATAAATGGCATTATGAAATAATTTTCACTATTTGTGTTGGAGTTGCCATATTTGTAACCTCCCTATTATTCAGTATTATTCAGCTTTCCTTGGTTTGATGCTGTTTTACACATTCTTCACCACTTCTGGAGTCCACTGGAAGTGTACGTCAGAGTTATGGTCTAGCCCAGCCTCAGGGTCTCTGTCTCTGACCTGTGTGTATGTGTGTGTGTGTGTGTGTGTGTGTGTGTGTGCGTGTTTTTCTAGCACCAGAGGCTTTCATTGTGATGCCTAAAAATTGAGTAAAGTTCAAAAAGCATGTGAACAGCTGGGAAGTGTATTAAGTTTCTGATCCTGGGAGTGTTTCTTATTAACTGGGATGTACTCATTCTCTTCCGGAGTGATCAACTGCATAGAATTCTGGAGAAATAAAAAAAAAAACCATGGATCTGAATAAGACCTGGGTATCTTTATAGCTTGAAGGAATATGGAAAATACACACAATTCTGGTGATGATATGGCAACATTTGGTTTCTTTATATCCCCCCAGGACCCTGACCAGGATAAACTGGTTATTGAGAATGAACGAATGAATGAAAGAAAGAATGAATGAATGGTTCTGTCATTATGGTGTCCTTCCTATTGATATATCTCCAACATTTCCTCAATATTTGTTTCTTATAGGGACACATTGAGATGCTGAGTGGAGGAACTGTGCTTACATGTGTGGTAGCCATTGCAGGCAGACAGAGATCTGTGCCAAAATAAACCCCAGTACCTCTGGGGTTGCTCATTCCCTTTTCAGGTGTTTGGCAGATATAGCCACCTTCCAAGCTTCTCTATGCATGCTGTGTGTCTAAATAGATTGAGTCCAAGTTACATTACTTCCGAAACTTAGCCACAGTGAAAATTTGGTACCATCTTTGCTAAATAAGCATTCATAAATTTTAATATCAGGGGTATAAAAATTTACAGATCCAACTCCAGTTCTCAATATTTTGTCAGTCCCAGTGAAGACTCAGAGAAATTGTCACTGGATTATTATTGAGATTTGTCATGCATGTAGGCCTACAGTATATTCCTGTTGGTCAGTTTCTGAAGGTTGGTCTGGCAAGAAAGCTTTCCTTTTGTCTCGCCAGTAGATCCCCGAGGCTTTCTGCATCAGTACAGAGAAGGAAGCAGAGGTTTCTGGTCAAAGTGAAGTGATGGAAAAGCAAACCATGCCTTTGATAACTGACAGAACCTTGGTTTTGTCAATGAGCCCCAAAGGATGAAAAGGTGAAAGAGCTCATGAAACACTTTTGAAACACTTGATTTTGACAGCACACTCACACTCACATTAAGTGTCATCCTAACCCTCATATACAGTGGAATGAAATGTTGTTGTGCACATCCAAACAGCTGTCAACTTCACTTATAGTTGAAATGTCTTGTTTGACTCATTTTCTCATTTTAGTGAACCACAGAGTTGCTTGGTTATTAGGTATACTGAACTTTTAACTAAGAAACTCCTCGCTCAGTGAAGTTTTACTATAATAAAAAAAAATGCCCTGACAAAGAATATAAATTGGTTTAAAGGAATGATTCAGAAGAAAACTGCTTATGTGAAAGCCCACATTTCTGTGTCTGTTAAAGTCAAATGTATTGCTATAAGTATTCAATATATAGACTTCTGCATGATTTTTATTAAAACTTGAAATCCCAAATATTATTTGACTGGTTATCTAAAATTGGTTTATCTTTCTTTACACTCTATGGTAGTTTGTAGATTCTCCTCTGTCCTACCGGGTTACACTTCTGAGGTTATTGACCGTAACATGGTGACATATTGCCCTTATGTTGTGCATGGTTGTGCTTTGTTATAAAGTTATATAATATGCTTACATAAAGAGCTATAGTATTATTCTTTTTTCAATATTGAGAAATGTTGCTAGTTAACATTCTAGTTGCTAGTTAACACATGTGTAAGCCATGGAGTATTTTACAGTAGATTCCCTTGAGATTTGTGAAGGAAAACGAACCAAGCCAACCTGGCTTTAAAGTTTGCTAATGGGATTCTCAGATGCTTTTTGAGAATGGGGATCGTCTCTGGTGTCTTGAAAAAGCATTGTCTGCCAAGTAATGGCTTTTACATGTACCCTCTTACTTTAAATGTTTTAATATGTCCACTAACTGCAGGGGTGGAGAAGGTACTTGAGTATGGGTATTGTGGAAAAATCTTGCTTAACTGAAAGTGGAAGTAGTGAAATTATACTAAAGTCAAAGTTAGAACTAGGGGTAGTATTTGAGGAACAAAAATATAAACTTCACATCCTCAGTGAATCTAATGAAATTTATGCCTCAAACATTTGTCTGTCTGTTACTGATTCTTTTGTGAATGTCCATTCATGGAAAAGTCAGTCCCCAGCATGAATGGCCAACAACGCCTTCATTCTGGGTAGCTCTGAACATTTATTTTACTACCTCTTATATACCATTGTTGCTTTGCTGTGCTAATGTTTTAATTATTTGGGGTCACAAAATTGGCAAAGCTTGGTAAGATCAAATCCACGCTGTAGCTTTTTCTGTTTATATCTTCTTGAGATTTTATCTTTAAAAAAGCAACAACAAAAAAATCAAAAATTAAAAGTAATCTTCATCTTGCAATGTACAAAAATGTACATATTTTAAAAATAGGTTAATTACACAAAATATACTTACTCAAAAGGTGTAAAATGCTGATCACTAGTGAGCCTCTTGATAATTTCCAGGATTGCCCCACTGAATAAAAAGTGTTAACATGTACTGTGTATAAAAGTATTTAAAAATAAAAGTATTTAAAATTATACAAAAATTTAACTCACATTAGAAGCCAGTCTATTTTTTTTTTCTTCATTATGACTTTTCATTATGACTTAATTCATCACTCTATACAAGTACAGGCATGGAATTTATTTTAAATTAACTACATTATTTACAAAATACATACACATTTTTAACAAGCAGTAACAATAACTTTGTCATTAAAGTCCTCGTTATACTTAATGCAGAAACAGCAAAGGGTTGTATGAAGATGAAACCATCTTTGCAAGATTACAAGCTCGCATACTCGCTGCAGTTTTGTATTGACTGTCACGTATGAGTGCTCCAGTACAGCAGGTGGCACTGTTTCAATTTCCATGCCTACAGGATGAAGATTGCAACTTCTCAAAGTCATCCTTCTTGCAATGACCAATCACAGGCATGGTTGGCAAGTGAAGCCTCTGCATGACGACCGTTTGCTCTGCAATTGCATCATATTTTTCGTGAAAGCCAGCTGAACGATGTCACCACATGTATGCACAAAAAAGTATGCTGAGGCCTTAACTTAGTGAATATTTTCATCATGGAATGATAAGCACATTAAAGAAACATGCACTTTACGCACTGCAAACAGAAAAACAAACAATAAAATAGTGGCATGTTATAAAAAATATATACTGACCATGTAGACTGATCTACAATCCACTGAGTCTTGTTAAAAATTCTTTTACAAAAAGTGCAGAACAGTAATCTAGTTATGATCTAGATATCATCTCATACAGTAATTAATAGGCAAATATGACATCATAGGTCACTTGATGGCCCTTGTCCCAGGCGTAGAGCATGCGTTCCTTTGGGTTATAGTCAATTTGTGTGGTGTAAGTGTAGTTGTTCACAAAGGGCAGCCTTGGCACCATCTGCGTGTGTGTGTGCGTGTCAAAAGCATAGCTAATGGTGGCGTTTATGCGCTCATAGCTGTCCACAGCATACAGGACACCGCAGATGACAAAGCTGTTCCCATAGCTGTTCCTCCTGAGGCCCGTCCTCCACGTGTTCTCCTTCTGCAGATCGGAAGGATTCAGCTTGCTCAGGATGATCACTTCTTGGTGGAAGCCTTCTTCATCTAGAGCTGGATAAACCATCCACAGGCCACTCTCATCCACAGCAAAGTCCACATCTGAGTGTCCCCTAAAGCTCCAGGGTGCCTCCTCATCCTCGTGTTCAAACATGGCATCATGCAGTGTGGTCCAAGCCGCCACGTAACGCAGACGCAGGTCGTATTTGATGATGTCGTGGGAAAACGCCCGGTTGTAGTAGAAGGCGCCGTTGTAGACCACATGGCCCGTGCCAATCCAGTTGTAGGGGAGTTTGTGGGAGTTGCTGAAGCGTCCTGAGTGGACAGAAAATGAGAAACACTAATATTAATACCCACAATTCCCAGAGTTTGATCAGTATGAAACAAGAGCAGCTTTACAAAACAAGACACACTATTATCAGTGTTTTTACTGTAGGAATATTTTTTTTCCCATATCAGTGCTCAGTGTTTTTTTTTTAAGAGTGCATACTCTTTTTTTTTTTTGGTTTCTAACAGGAACTGGGATTCAAAAATTGTATTAATATTTTGGACAAATTACTATTATTCTGTTGATTAAACTAGATTTGTGTGAAAGTTTGAAAATCACTTGGACTGGGAAAATACATTTACAAGTGACAATACATATGTGATGGAACATGAATGTGAATTTGCATTGGTATAATTAGTGATCAAACACATCTAAATTAATCATGGATGGTCTGCTAACCACGTGGGCCAATTTGAAGATAGAAGCCTCTTTCGGCTGCTCCCGTTAGGGGTCGCCACAGCAGATCATTGGTCCGCATATTTGATTTGGAACAGTTTTTACGCCGGCTGCCCTTCCTGACGCAACCCTTCCCAATTTTATCCGTGCTTGGGACCAGCACTGAGAGCGCACTGTTGCACGCAACCCCAGTGGCTGGGGTTGGTTTCCTGGGCGGGAATTGGACCTGGGCCACAGTGGTAAGAGTGCTGTGGCTTAACCACTAGTCCTCCAGGGACCTTTGAAGATAAATTGGCTAATTATATTAATCAAATTATAATAGTTTTATGGTAGTTTTGCCACCCCATGTGGTAAAAATCTTTCTGCTAACTTAACTTCCAGAAAATAGAATAAAGAAAAGCAAGTTTACAAAATCAGACACATAACACAATGCTAGCGTATCACTAATAAGGTAGTAGGTAAGTAAAACGTCTTACATTTTTTCTGTACAATGCCCAACACTTAAATCAGTAGCATTTAGTCTAAATACAATCTATTATCTTATTACAATTAGTGTTAGTGGAATAAGTACAGGCAATAATATTTTGCTCTACAGTGGCTAATTTCTGTTAATATAATAAGCACCTTGCTTGAATGTATCCATATCACGGAATTCCAGTAGGTTGCTGCCATAGTAGTAGTTTGTGACATAAATGACATTGCCATTGCCTTTTGGGTCCTTCATCCAGGTGCCTTCATTGCGGCCATAAGTATTGTGAGTCACAGGGTCGGCGATAGTAGCTAATGTGTCCTTGCATACACCTACAAATTATAAAGAAAAAATAATATTGCCAGGAAAAACACAGCATTTTTGGGGAAGCTTCTGTGCTCCCGAGATAAAAACTGTCCCATTCAGAAGGCATTACAAAGGCAGCATTCTTTTATTTTGGGCAACATTAAGGCAGCATATATTTCTTTCCTAAAGAAGGCAAACATATAATTCTGTTCACTAATATCCAACATTTGCTTCTTTACTCTTTTAATGCAGAAATAAACTAATGAAGCAGTACTGATAGTCTGTCTCGCTCAAAATGCTATGCTGTAGGACACTTCAGTTAAGCTATATTGCATAATATTGCAAATTGTTCTATGAAATCTAACCACATGCTATAAATTATCATGATATAAAAAATCTATATCAGCACATGAGCATGTCCAAATATACACCATGATATAAAACAACTCTATTTACCTGAATTCTTTGGTGAGTCTGTAGTGACTACAGATTCTTCGTCCCAGCTGAGTCGAGATTTCACTGTGTGTTTTCTTGCTGCAGATGTGGAGTTGTGCTGTGGTTTTGGAGCTTTAGGAGGAGCAGAGATGGATGTTGATCGGTTGGTGGTCGCCGGCTGTGTGGTGGTGGTGGTGGTGGTGAAGGTTGTTAAGGAATGTGGCGTTGCAGTGCTGGTTGTAATCATCCTCTCAGTTTCCCAAGACTCCTGCTTAGGCTGCTTTGTGATGGTTAGCACGTTTGTGGTGGTTTCTCTGTTCAGTTTTGGTGCCACGGTGGCTGTAGTGTGAGGGCCTGAGGATTGAGTGTCCTCTTGTTTGGGGATCTGATCTTCTATTATTAGATCCACTGAACCATCCCCACTCAGCACATCATCTGTTCCTGCTGTGGAGGATTAACAATTGTGGGTAGAAGAGCTTAATAAAAATATCTATGAAGGATTTCAATCATCCAGCGTTTGAAATGGAGAGGAATGGAGAGGAAATGAAAGCCAGGATGAAACCCAAAAATGGTCAACATACCAGATTTTTCATATTTAGAAATAAGCTTTTTCAATGTAAAACATCATAAGAAATTAGTTATACCATAATGCTATGCTATACCAGTATAGACAATAAACTTGCAGTAAACGTGCAAGATTTTTAAAACAAGGTAGTCTACTTTTCAAAGATGTAATATATTCACAGTGCTATTTGAGAAATTTACCTGCTCAGATAAATGTATACATTGTAATATGGGGAACACTGCATGATAATGGAATTCCAACTACTAAAATTGTGTAGTTTTTAGAACAGCAACAAAGAAGAACATCGTTAAAAGTGCGGCTTCAGGAAAATGGTAAAAACTGGAATTACTTTTTGCTATAGCTTATTAGTAAAGTGCTAGAAATTTGGATTAAATTACATAAAAACACATAAACTGTGGATAGTGACCGAAAGAACGGAGTCTTGAGTACAGGTGGCAGAAATGAGCTTCCTCTGCAGGGTTACTGGGCTGAATGAAGTTTGTTTGAGCACCTTTGTCAGCTCCAACTAGATATATATCAGGCATGCCCCACTGGACAGAGACCCCAGGGCAGACCTAGCACCCACTGGAGAGATTGTATCTCACATTTGGCTTGGGAATGTCTGGAGTTCCCCCAGAAGAGCTGAAATCTCTGATGGGGGATAGAGAAGTCTGGGCTGAGCTTATCAGCCTGCTATCACCTGACCCCCACCAGGAAAAGTGGAAGAAAACAAATGAATATTTCAAAATTCTTTTCTGTGGTAATTGCACGTACTGTACAGGATATACAGAAGGCAGGAGATGGAGATTAGGTTGAAAAAACTTTTCAGTTCTCCTTTAGCGATTGTAATTGTAATTGTAATCGATTCTAAACCCAGGGGCAAGCCCAGGGCAAGCCACCAAGTCAGTATTAACCTTAAGCCATGTGGAGCAAACTCACCATTCTGTTCTCCATCTTCATCCTCTTCAGTATCAGCCTTATAGAAGGTCATGCTTCTGATGTTCATCCCATTTGGTCCTATTTTGCTCTTCACTGATTTCTGCTCCTCAGTGTCTTCAACACTACTCCTCTTCAGTAGCCTGCTGGAGTCCTGGCTCCCTACAAACCTCTCCTCATACTTCTTCTGCAATCAAATCATGTTGGGTGAATTGTATACATTAGGTGTGTAACACAGCACCACTATCTGTACCTATATCTGTCTAGGGGGGGCAGAAGTAGGAATGTCAGCGTTGTCAGCATGATTTGTGAAATCTGGTTCTAACAGTTCCTCAACCTCAGCTACATCCCTTGAGTTCATAACTGTTATCAACTAGAGATGTGCCCAGGACTGTTTTTTTTTTTTTTTGGTAACTGCCCATTATATTTTATATAGAATTTAGTTGGTTCTATTTCCCAAATATAAACAAACTCGTTGTTGGATTGAGGATGAACGAATGAATGCTGTAAATGTCTATATTTGTCCCGTGAGCTTCATATTTCACCGCTCGCGCACGCCCACATTATATTAAAAAGAACACATTATCTGTCCATTCCAATTAATGTATTTGTATTCAGCTATATCCTTAGTATACACACATGACCAAATGTGATTTTATGCTCTGCTCTTCTTTAGTTTTGCACTGGAGCTATGAGGCTGATGTGGGTTGGCCTAATCCTCATAACTCCAGTACACTTCTGAGGAAGCATATGTCAAAGACCACACATCTTGGCTGATTGACTCCATTTGGGGTAAGGGGGGAAACTGTGCATTTAATTTTTTTTGCCAAACTGGTCCTTTAATTATAAGCTACATTGTGAAATAAGGAGGAATTTGTGGTGTAGATTAATGCTTGGGAAGCTGGCTTTGATCTGATAATACTGTATTAAAGTCCGCCAGGCTGACACAGCAAAGTTGGCTAATGCTTTCCACAGAGCTGGAACTTGTGTGATGCTTGGTTACCCTGCTAACAACTGTATCCTTCCAGTATGTCTGTGTAATTACAAGTTAGACTGTGTGTTCAGACTTTGGCTTAGGTATGCTTTGTGTTTGGTAGTGTTGTTAACTTAATTTTAACATTAAAATTGTGTTGTGTCTATATATATATATATATATATATAGTCCTGATGGCTGAATTTAGCGCTATCATGTGGTTGTCATTCAGGCACGCTGGAGTTGTTATGTTTAGTACAGGAACAATGCTGGATTTTTTAAAAGCATGTTGGAACAATAGACTGAACCAGGAATGTGTTCCAGTGAATACGCCCTTGTATTCTGTCTGGACCTGCAGGTTTCCTCATGTTCCTTAAAATATTATGTATCTTAAGTCACAAAAATATACACTATATCCACAGTACCAAAGATGTGGATATCACCACAGCAACAAGGAAGAGCCCAGTTTCGTACAATTTGTTGTTTTTCTTTTTAAGAAAAATTTAGCAGCTAGTTATGTTTTACGATTTTGGTAGGTTACTGAATAAAATGTTAACAGACTTAAAAAAAGGTTCATGAAATCCTGCCTTTAAACTTATTAGAGTTTTGTATGAAGCAGTTAGTGTTGAGTAAATGAGATATACTCATGTGTCCACCAATGGCCTGCAGGAAACTGTCTGTGGTTGGGCATGTGCCATGTCAGTCAAACTGCCTCTTTCTGTGAAAGTATGTGGTTCTTGGCTGTGTTTGTTGACAAAACATACCAGAATCTCTAGTGAGTGTTAGAAGTCTGGCTAGCAAGTCTGGCTGAAATTGGGGTCTCCCACTTCATTATCGGGCATCTCTCCCTGGTGTGATAGTTTCTGGGAACTGTATGAAAGGGGTTACTGGTGTGTTGTGTGTGATTATGCACACACTATAATTTACATGACTGACACAGAACCACTGTAGTCCCTTGAGGAAGGTACATAATCTTTAACTGCTCAGCTCTGTTCTAAGATTGGATTCTGCCTCACATCACAACTGCTGAATAATTGAATGTAATGCACTTTTTTCTTATGTCTCCCACTTTTGTCATAGCCAATTTCTACTTGATAGCTAGTTATTAAGCTACCTATCTTGAAATCTTAATGCTAACACAGACTCCACCTCTACCTCCATCTTCCTCCATCTTTTTGAAATAATGCTGCTGAACAGAATAGCTGAACATGCTTGGAGAAGAGCGCTAACTGCCTATTATGTATAAATAAGCTAATATGTAACATTTGGCAAGCCTCAGTCTATCATGTAAGACAGGAAATATGTTATTCCCACCAAGAGAGCAGGGCCAGTAATGCTCTCATGGGATGTTTGTACAGATAAGAACACAGCAATTTCACACAATTTCACACACAGATGGATTTGGGTATGGACCAAAACCATCTGAGTGATGAGATCTCAGTCCGGTTCCAATCGAACTGTGGCACAGTTTGTTGCAGCCTGAAAGAGATTCAATCCTGAATCAATCCAACTGCAGGATGTAAGCCAAACATACTAATCTATTTTGTGCTAGAGAGCATTGTTTTGTAGATATGAGCTGCTAAACTGAACTGC